TGGCAACAAAGCAATCAAATATACAGGAGCAATCAGGAACACAGGAACAAGACCATACAGCAATTTGGAGATGCATGGGGCTGGATTAAATACTGCGCCCTGTGCTCTCATTGGTGCCAGGCGCGCATCCGCAATCGTGAGTGTGCATGCGCGGCCGCCATGATTGCCCAAGTCCCAGTGCTTGCCAGCTAATGCGCATTGGCGTTCTGCGCATGCACATACCTGTGTGCTGCCGAGATCCCTAAAATTACCCCCCCTACGGGCAGCCTCCGGATGCCCAACTGACCTCTCCTTTGTGGGTGGTTGCGACAAAACTCTTGGATCAATCTGGGAGCGTGGACGTTTTGGACTGGTTCCCATGAATTTTCCTCTGGGCCATAGCCTTTTCATTTAATGAGGTATTGTATCCGACCTCCTCTCTTCCTGCAATCCAAGATTGCCTCCACTTCAAACTCCTCCTCTCCATCAATGTCTAGGGCTAATGGAGGTCTTGATCTGTGATCTGGGAAAGGATCTGGAGTTGCAGACTTCAACAGGGATACGTGGAACACTGGGTGTATCCGGAAAGATTTGGGCAGTGCCAATTCAAAGGCTACTTCGTTGATCTGCCGTTTCACCGGAAAAGGGCCCACGAATTTGGGTGCCAACTTCTTTGATGGGCATGCCATCTTTAGATTGGTCTTTGCCAACCAAACCTGATCTCCTGGGTGTATGACCAATTCCCACTTTCTTCTTTTATCAAATGCCCTTTTGTTATCCTCCTGGGTCTTTGTCACTGCTTCCTGTAGTAACTTGTTGTTGGATGTGAAAAAATTTAAGGCATCTTGTGCTGCCAGCATTGAGTTTTCGGGAATCAGATCCGGTAGGAAAGTGGGATGGAACCCATAATTGGCGTAAAATGGAGACTGCTTGGTGGCGGAATGGTTTGCATTATTATAGGCGAATTCTGCTAGGGGCAGGAGTGCCAGCCAATCGTCCTGAAAAAAAGAGGTATAACACCTGAGGTACTGCTCCAATGTCTGGTTGGTCCGCTCCGTCTGCCCATTTGTTTGCGGGTGGTATGCCGAGGAAGATGACAGCTGAATCTCCAACATTTCGCACAGGGCCCTCCAAAATTGTGACGTAAATTGGACTCCCCGATCTGATACTATGTTCCTATGAACTCCATGGAGCCTTACTACTTCTTTAATGAAGAGCTGTGCGGTCTCGGGAGCGGAGGGTGTATTCCTGAGCGGCAGAAAGTGAGCCATATTGGATAAGTGGTCAACCACCACAAATATTGCGGTGTGGCTTTGTGAAGGTGGTAGTTCCACAATAAAATCTATGAAGACCATACTCCATGGTCTGTCAGGTACCGGTAAGGGTCGTAGTAGGCCCCAGGCTTTACTCCGCCTAGACTTATTCCTGTTACAGATGGCACAGGTCTTGATGTAAATTTCACAGTCCTTGGCCATACTCAGCCACCAAAATGTGCATTGGATCAGCTCTAATGTTTTACCTATTCTGAAGTCTCCTGCAATGGGTGGTCATGACAGTAGCCCAAGACCAGGGTTCGAGCTTCTTCAGGAATCACGATCTGTTCCCCCTTCCATAGCAATCCTTCTCTGTTTTGTACCGAGACTCCAGATGGATTGGGGGCCCCTATAGATGCAGCTTGTAACTTTGACAGGAGTTCTGACTGTAATAGCAGAAAGTTACCCGCTGGCAAAATGGTATCAGGTTTAGGAGTTTCTTTTACGCCTTTTCTTTGTGACAGGACAGCTCCTACTGCGTTTTCGGATGCGTCTACCTCCAAAATGCATGGCAGGGATGCATCCGGGTGACCTAAGATGGGGGCTGCCGTGAACAACTTTTTCAGGGTCTCGAAAGCAACCTGCGCCTCTGGTGTCCAATGAAAACGTACCCCCGATTTTGTAAGTTGGGTGATAGGAGAAACTAGGCCTGAGAAATTCTTAATGAATTTTCGATAAAAGTTTGCAAAACCAATAAACCACTGAATGCCTCTTTTATCTGCGGGTACTGGCCATTCCAGAATTGCGGAGATTTTCTGGGGATCCATGGCAATTCCCAAGACGGAGATGATTTGCCCCTGGAACTGGATACTGTATTGCTCGAAGCTGCACTTCTCTGCTTGGCATAAAGTCCGTGCTGGCGAAGCCGCTCCAGCACGTTCCTGACGTGACCTCAATGTGTCTCCAAGGATGGGGAAAAAATCAGAATATCGTCAAGATAAACTACCACGAAGATATCCAGATAATCTTTGAAAATGTAATTTATGAAGTGTTGGAAAGTGGCCGGGGCATCGCACAACCCGAATGGCATAACCAGGTACTCAAAATGCCCGAATCGGGTGCGAAAGGCTGTCTTCCACTCATCCCCTTCGCGTATACGGACCAAGTTATAGGCACCCCTGAGATCCAGCTTTGTAAAAATAGATGCCACCTTTAATCTCTGGAATAATTCAGGAACTAAGGGGAGAGGGGAGCGGTTCTTGACTGTAACCTTGTTCAGCTCCCGGTAGTCAACACAGCGTCTCAGCGACTGATCTTTCTTTTCCACGAAAAAGATTCCGGCACACGCTGGTGATGTGGACGAGCGGATGAATCCCTTTTGGAGGCTCTCATTGATGTACTCTTTCAGTGCCCCCAACTTCCGCTCTGATAGGGGGAAAATTTGGCCAAAAGGGATCTCCGAACCTGGAAGGAGATCAATTAGACAGTCATATGCCCGATGCGGGGGAAGTATGTCTGCTCCCCATGGGCTAAAAACGTCAAGATAGGAGTGGTAGGCCAATTCTTCGTCAGTGGTCACACAGCATAGGGACTGAGTGGCTACTGGTGTCCTGAGGCAACAGTGTTCCTGGCAATAAGGTGACATGAACTGAATTGCTCCTGTCTTCCAGTTAATGTGAGGGTCATGGGCTTGTAGCCAAGGAAGCCCCAGGATAACTGAAAAAAGAGGAGACGCGATGGTGTCCAGGGGGAGGAGTTCCTGATGGTGCCCAGCTACTGTAGTGTGGATCGGAGGGGTCTCTTGGTCTACCAACCCGGACTTTATCTGAGCCCCGTCAGCCAAGAAAATATTCAGGCCCCTCTCTTTGGTCTGCAAGGGAATCTGTTGATGAGCTGCAAAGCCAAGGTCAATAAAGCAGCTACAGGCTCAATCAATAATGGCCGTCACTGGTGCGGTTCTTCCGGGGAGCTGGAAAGAAATAGGCACAGCTAGGTGAGTTGCGTTGTTCAGGCAAGTAGGAGACACAGCGGAAGCGACAGATGCACACTTACTCATTTTTTCAGGGCAAGAGCGTACTATATGGCCAGCCGCTCCACAGTACAGACATAAATTATTCAGCCGACGCCTCTGGCATTCTTCAAAAGTCAGAGAGGGCTGCATCAATCCAATCTGCATCTGTTCAGGCCCATCAGCCACCTCCTGACCTCAATTCCCAACTGGAAAAGTAGGCTGGAGCGGGACCCGAGGTAACACCCATGTTGGTCTGGAACTAGGATTGGCCCTTTCTTGCCAACGCTCCCGCAGCCTGCGGTCGATTTGGATGGCCAGGCTAATCAAATCCTCCAATGTGTCGGGTATGCCCACTCTGGCCAGCTCGTTCTTCAGTGGGTCAGACAGGCCCAAACGAAATTGGTGACGCAGGACTGCATCGTTCCACTGTGTGTCCCCGCTCCAGCGCCTGAATTTGGCCTCATAATCCTCCGCTGCCCGGCGGCCTTGTTACAGGGTATGCAGAGTCGCCTCAGCAGAAGCGGGTCGTTGCGGGTCGTCATAAAGTTGTGCCATCGCTTTGAAAAATGACAAAACAGAGTCCAAATGCGAATGATGATCCTACATCAAACGGTGGGCCCAGCCTTGGGGTTCCCTCTGCAACAAGGATGTAACGAACCCCACTTTTACGGATTCTGAAGAAAAGGTTCGGGGTTGGAGGTCAAAATATAGCAGGCAGAAATTCTGGAAGGCCCTGAACTTCTTCTGATCCCCATTAAAATGCTCGGGCATTGGTACTCGAGGTTCCGATGGAGGAATGGTGAACACTGCTCCGGCGGAGGATTCTGCGGAGCCCCGGGCCGGGGGTGGACTAGCCGTGGCTGATAGCGTGGCTGTTGGTGTGGTTAGGGTCTGAATACGTCCCTCCAGATGTGTGTACCCATCTTGAAGTGTTTTCACAGCTTGCGTAAGTGCCGCCAGGTGTTGGCATCTCGTCCAGAGGTGAGGGGCCTCTTCCTGGCTCAGTCATGGCCGTATGGTTCTGTCAGGAGCCGACTGGCGGTAGCCTCTAGTGACCCACAGGCCGGAATTCCTCAGGGCGCGGAGTCTAAGCCTCAGTCTGCTGGTTCACCAGAGCCCCTGATGGAGGTAGCCGCCAATGGGGGTGGCAGGTGAGAGCCAGATGTGAAGAGGTATTAACGTAGTCAGACAGGTTGGTAACAGCAGAGCAGACAGTACAGAGCGGCAGGTAAAAGAATAAACAGGTCACGGGCCGGGTTCAGCAACAGGAGGTAAGACAATCAGGATCAGACAGAGAATAGTCAGGACGAGCCAAAGGTCAGAGCAGGAGAGGACAACAGGATCAGGATCAGGCTGAGTCGGCAACAAAGCAATCAAATATACAGGAGCAATCAGGAACACAGGAACAAGACCATACGGCAATTTGGAGATGCACAGAACTGGTTTAAATAGTGCGCCCTGTGCTCTCATTGGTGCCAGGCACGCGTCCGCAATCGCGAGTGCGCATGTGCGGCCACCGTCACGATTGCCCCCCGGTGCTCGCCGGCTAATGCGCATCGGTGTTCTGCGCATGCACATACCTGTGTGCTGCCGAGATCCCTGACAGCAGCAGTATAACCAAATTGTATTTAAAAAATCCAAAGAATTCCTAATTGAGTTCATCCATGCATACTACATACTGAATCTGGTAACCATTTGGGCAGTAAAGGCTATTGCCTTGATGGAATCATGCATGCAATAAAGAAATAATGTTGTACCTTTAGGTAGTCATAAGGACAAGACACTTCTGGGTGGTCTTCAATATCAAAACTATCATCAAATTGAAGATTGACCACAAATCCTTCCTCTAGCTCAATTCTATACAGACAATCAGAGCTCTTGGGGTACGAATTAGGATAATCTGCACTTGATATTGTTCCACTCCTTTGTGTGTACAGATTATCACTGCATTCCACTGTAAATAACAACAAAAATACAAAGCCATTATCATTTCCACAGGCAACAGTTCCCTGGACAGATATGTGAGAAGAGGCATTTAAAGAATGTCTTTTGGGTTGATTTACCAAAACTGGAGAGTGCAAAATCCGGTGAAGCTCTGCAGAGAAACCAATGAGCTTCCAGGTTTGTTTTTTGTCAAAGCTTAACTGAACAAGCTGAAGTTAGAAGCTGATTGGCTACCATGCACAGTTGCACCAGATTTTGCACTCTCTCTGGTTTTAGTAATTGAACCCCTAAATAATTAGGAAGCAGGGGCGGACTGACCATTTGGAAACTCGGGCACTGCCCGAGGGCCCGAGGTCAGTAGGGGGCCCCATGAGAGGTCCCTGGTACCTTTTTCATAGGCTTTTTTTTGAGTTTGGGCAAGAACACAGGGGCCCCATGATCCCCTATTGCCTGGGGGCCCCATGAGTTGTCAGTCCGCCCCTGTTAGGAAGGTTTGATTGATGGGAATAGTAAAAAATATAAAAACACTTTTGAGCAATGAAACAAACTGACAGATATTTGGCAGTTACAAACAGATGTTATTATTCAAACCACTATTTTATAATAATAAAAAATATATTCAGCTGTTTCATTTCTGTACAGAACAATAAAAAGAATTATACATTAGAAGATGCCTAATGAACAACTGTTCCCATTTCTAAGTACCTAGATTTGACCTGTTATTAGCTTCTTGTAATTACAATTGCAAGATAAAGTGGAAATAAATGATGGGGAAAATAGGATAATAGAAGTATGCTTTCATTACAACTTTTTCACTCAGTTGTATGTTGTCAGAAATATTTTGAATAAATACTAGATAAAAAAAGGCATATTTTTATCTATTGTGTTACCTGAAAAATAATTGTTCAAAAAATGTTGTTCATCCCTTGTGACAGCAATAAAGTTGATTAAAAAAAAACAGTATAAAAAAAGTTTTAAATAAAATAAATACTAAAAATTTTAAAGCACCCCTGTCCCCTCGTAAAAATGCAAATGCATATGTAAGTCCACCATGCATATGTAAATGGTGTTTGCACCAAAAATATGAAGTTCACCGTGAACGTCAGAGTGAGAGAATGTCCACAGGCATATGCAATTTTAAAGCATGACATGTCAGGTATTTTTTAACATCATCTTCTATATATTTTGCCCCCCCCCCCCAATTTCTTTTCTTGTTTGTGTGCATTAAAAATTAATTAAGGTGTGTTTTATTTATTTTTTAAAAAAGTGCTTCTCAAGTACAGTGTTATATAAAAATTGCAACGCCCGCCATTTTATTCTCTATGGCCTCTGCTTAAAATATCTATAATATTAGGGGTTCTAAGTAATTTTTAGGGTTTTCTGATCTCCTTTCATAATCCTTATACTAGCCTGGAGGTCTCCAAACTATGTCCCTCCAGCTGTTGAAGTACTACAACTCTCATCATGCTTCTGCCTCTCGGAGTCTTGCCTGTGGCTGTCAGAGTCTTGCAAGGCCTCATGGCACTTGCAGGTCCTCAACACCTGTAGGGCCATAGTTTGGAGACCCTGTGCTAGCCCATATATTTGTTTGCATTATCAATGAGCATTAGGCGTGTGCCAATAAAGCTATTATTCCTTTGATTTCACTATCATCATTAGTATGATGTTACATAGACCAATAATAAATCATGCAGAGTGACTTTCATGGCTTTAGAATCTATAGCTCCAATATAAATGAGACAGCCGGGTGCTGCAGGGGGAATAAACCAGATTGCATCCAAGGCTGCTGATAATAGTAGTATGTGATGCATATCTCATTATTTTTGCACCTTATATTTGCACCTTATATAGTAAAATGTGACAACTGTGGAACTACCGTATTATTTAAAATGTGAGAGGGTAATGAAAGCAATAAAAACATTTCTGTATATACACATTGTTATATTGTTATTATTATTATTGCTTTTTCACAAATAAACCACATTATAAATTGGACATATATAATTGAAGCTATTAGTTATTATGTCATACCTTTGCATGTCCTGTTATCTGAGTGGAGAAGATAGCCAAATCTGCATGAACAGTAGAATCCACCAATATAATTGTGGCAGTGATGGTCACATACCATGTCTTCATCATTTCCCTCTGCACACTCATCTACATCTGCATTAGATAAAAGGTAGAAGTAATTATTACACATCACTAGTACAAACAAAAACACATTCACTGTTCAGTTGTAATAGAATGTCTGAATTATTTGGCTTATGAATACATCCTTTACACGTGCTACTAAAAAAAAATAATAATGGCACATTTTATATAATATAATAGACGTTTCTAACAAAATAAAACTTTATGATATTCTGCTAATGAACTGCAATAGCAAACAGCATTTTAAAGGGCAGGAAGATCTAGGTCAAAGAAAATTGTAGAAATGTGCATGTTCAATAAAGATGACAGCTACAGACTCCAGAGTATTGCTATAATAGGATATATACAGTATAGTAGACATTTTAATAAAAATGAAAAGAAAGTCTAACAGACAGTGAGTTCCCTATAATCATTCTTATATTTGCTAAAATGCAAGGTGCATGTATTCATATAAAGCTATATACTGAAGGATTCAGTGCGGGCAATGTGTAGTTGTTTTGATATCCTAATGACCTCTCTGTACTGAAATTCTTGGTTCCACCGTAGAGTTTAACACTCTTATGGCTGCAGGATCAGTCTCAGTTTTGCTGCTGCATTTTTTGTAGTATAATATAAATGAAAATCCAACATGGAGAATAAGCTCCTCTGATAATGTTCACAGCAGGTGCATGGATCTCATGTTAAAAATTCTGCTCCTGCTGAAAAAAGGTTGTGAGTAAATTATTCCAGTAGGGATAAGGTCTGGGTTTGCCACTTCCAAGAATCTGAGGCAAATTCTGCAGGCAGGAGATTGACGGTCCTGGTTAGTGTTTCTGCAGATATGCACATTTTTTTTTCTTTTTCAAACTTTTCTGTTAGATCTAGAACATGCCATCTTGTACAAAACTGTATAAATGAAGAATACAAAAAAATTTGTATTTTTTTGTAAACGCACGTTAGGGCTCACAGTTTGTGAATCGGATCAACATATGAACCCCTGAGAGATGCCATTTGTCACCAAATCTATACTAACCTCTTTGAGGTTAGTATAGATTTGGTGAGCTATGGCATCAACAACATTTTAAGGACTTTGGAAGTGAAAGAAGAGAAATAACTGACTCTTGCTTGGTTTGCCCCACCCATAGATCAGGAAGTAGTAGGGAGCCAATGTTGGGAAAGTATGCAGTAAATGTCTGGGAATTAAAGGGTAGGGTTTCTGCCCAGTTTGGGGGCGGAGTCTGAACATGGCGCTGGCCGGTAGCGTGAGTTAGGAGCTCTGTGACCCGTTGGGAGATGCTGGAGATAATACTGCAGAGAACATACCTCTTGGGTTAGGAGTGGAGGACTGGCGATAGCACCGACTGCTGGGATCCCTTCGGCCTTCCCAGAGTGAGAGGTCTATCTTGTGGAGTGGGGCGGTGCGAGGATCGGAGCAGAGGGGATGAAGGCTGCAGAGTAATCTGCCGGAGAATCTTGAGAGAGAATCCGCATGGACTTTTGGGAGGTACACGGCTGAGTGGAGAGGGGAGAACAAAGCCTGCTGGAGGTCACCCCTGGTCACCCCAAACCCCACAGCTGAAGGACGACAAGAGCAAGGCACTGCCCAAGAGGCTGAGATCACCATATGGGCTGAAGAAAGCGATGTGATAACTCTAAAATGGAGAATGGTGAGTGTGCCATATTTAAACAAACATTCAGTGTTTGGTGAAAGTGATGTAGGAAGACACAGTGGATGGTGCATTCAGTACCCAGAGAAGTTATAAAGTGGGATGGAGATACAGGGAGTTACCCAGCGGGCATAAGGGTAAAACATTAAGAGAAGGAGCTGATGAACCCATGGAGGAGTGTGGACATTTGAAGTATTAAGTACTAAGGAGGAAAAGCAGGAAGCAATATAACACTGGGTCTCTGACGGGGCGATAGTGTGGAAAAAAGGTTAGAGGCCCAGGTATCTACCTATGTATCTACCTATCTATCCATCTATTTGACTATCTCTATAGCTGCAAAATCCTACGCATATTGAAAATAGGGAAGGGATAAGAATAAGAACATACTCCAAGTTTAGAAACAAAAGGAAGTAATATGAAGAGCATATTGGTGAAAGGAGGAGGGGTAAAGACCCTTAAAACAAGTATAGGTACAATTAAAAAATATATGCCTCCACAGGAGAAAAGCCAAGGGGGTCTAACCCCAGAGAGACAATGGGAAGCTAGTGGAAGACAAGAAATTGAAAACAATAGTGGAGACCAATCCAGATTGTCATTGGAAACATCTGATCTGAATCAATGAAGAGGAGGCCCTACTGTAGATTGTATGGGGGACAATAGAAACACAGAACAAACAGGAAGCACACAAATATGTAGAAAGATGGAAATGGCAGATATGTTTGCGAAATTAGAACTCTCAATAAAAAATGATATGGCAATATTGCATAAGGATTTAGGACAAGTAAGTTATGCGACGTGAACAAAGGAAACTGTTATACAAGATAGAACATCAGGAGAATAGAAATAGAAGGAACCACTTGAGGATACGGATGTTACCTGAAGGGAGAAGGTTTAAGAATGATAATGAATAAGTGCTTAAACTCAATATTAGGTGGATCTATAGCAGAGCAATTGAAAATGGATAGAGTTCACAGGATAAGAAAACCCCAAGGAGTGAACACAAAAATACCTAGATATGATAGATGTGATAGTGCGATTCCACAATTTTGAAGATAAAGATTTGGGAGAAAATGAAAGGGATACCCTCAGTAAAATATGAAGGAGTGACTTTGCAAATATATGCAAATATAGCACCGGAAACACTAACATGCAGGAGATCCTTGAGATCATTGCTGGAACAGATGCGGGAAAAAAAGTATCCAATACAGCTGGGGTTTACCAGCATGTTTAGTGGGATGGAAAGGTGGATGTCCAGCTAGTTTGAGGTTCCCAGAAGATCTACAGGATTTCTGTGAAAGATTAGAACTGCAAATACCAGAAATACCAGGGTGGACCGATGAGATTAAAAAGAAAAGGGGACTAGAAGAAGAGAGATGGTAGCTAACTTCCAAAAAAAAGAGATGTAATTAGAGATATGAGGAGTGGAAGAAGATAATACCTATGAAAAAAGCTATATTGATGGGACTCGTACATGAGGCGGCATTAGGGGAAGGAATGCAAATAAGGAAAGAGTCGTTGTTGGCACATATTACAATTATACCTAAAGAAGGCAAAGACTTGTCTCAATGTGCCAGCTATAGACCAATATCATTACTAAACATAGACCCGAAACTATATGCAAAAGTTATTGCCAGCAGGATGAAAGACCTAATGCCTGAATAGATACACTTAGACCAAGTAGGTTTTATACCAGGGAGAGAAGGAAGAGAAAATGACCTGAAATCATTGCTTCTTTTAGAAAAAAGTAAGAAGGAGAAATCCCCATGTCTATTTCTGTCGATAGACGCTGAAAAAGTGTTTGACAGGGTAGATTGGGGATTTATGAGTACCTTAGAGGCGATAAGATTAGGACCTAAAATGATACTGTGGATAAACTCTTTATATAGTCATCCATCTGCAGTGATGAAAGTCAATGGCCAATTGTCACAACCTTTTGAAATATATAATGGAACAAAACAAGGATGTCCACTTTCACCTCTTATGTTTATACTATCACTGGAGCCTTATTAGCAACTATACAACAGAGTGCAGATATAAAAGGAATTAAAATTGGAGAAGTGGAACATAAGGTGGCAGCTTATGTGGATGATATGTTGTTTTATGTAGTAAACCCTAAAATAACACTACCAGATGTTATGAGAATGTTAAAAGTATACGGAGAATGATCAAATTTTAAAATTAATCTTTCAAAATCTGAGATTTTAGATATTAATATATCGAATACAGAAAGACAGATATAAAAAGAAAAATTTGCCTTTATCTGGAAGGGTAAAGAACTAAATTACTTGGGAGTAAAGTTGATCCCATCACTAAGGAGTATATATCAGACAAACTACATGCCACTATTAAATGAGATAAAGGAGGAATTGAGGAAAATCTCAAATCATGTGACCACCGGGTCCTGTTCATCGGGATCTGAATTTCGCTGTGTCCAGGAGACACAGAGGGTCATATGGGTACGTTGCTTTGCCTGTAGCTGCCGTCCGTCCGCAGTACATTGTGGGCGGGTGGGAAGCTGTTAAAAATTGGCTAGCAGCAGGACAGGACAGTTTTTTAATTCTATAACAGGAAAAACAACAGTGAACTACTGGGCAATTATGCCAGTTAAAGCAGGCCTATTGCCATTGGATAAAAGAGATGTATCACTGATAAAGCTATCTTTATAAAAAAGCCTCTTTTTCAAACTGCAATGAATCAGATTGGGGTGCTGCTGTATGTAAGCCAAGCCATGAACTGAAAGTGTATGTTGTCACTAAGAACCACAAGAGAAAACTATGCTGTTCTACAACCATTCACAGCTTCAAGGTGTCTACAAAACATGTTATTTAACCACTTTCCCTCCAGAGGATTTACCCCCGTTCCTGACCAGGCCATTTTTTGCGAAACAGCTCTGCGTTACTTTAACTGACAATTGCACAGTCATGCAACACTGCACCAAATTAAATTTATGTCCTTTTTTCCCCACAATTGGAGCTTTGTTTCGGTGGTATTTGATTGCCTCTGCATTTTTATTTTTTGTGCTATAAACAATTTTGAAAAAACAAACAAACAATATTTTTGACTTTTTGCTATGAAACATATCCAGTAAAAAACTTTAAAAAAAATCAAATTTCTTCATAAATTTAGGCCAGTATGTATTCTGCTACATATCTTTGCTAAAAAAAATCCCAATACGTGTAAATGAATTGGTTCACATGACAGTTATAGCGTCTACAAATGACGGTATATATACTGGAGTTTTTTTTCTTTTATACTAAATGGCGGCGATCAGGACTGTGGGACTGCAGTGGGCATTCGGACACTGGGGGAAACTGACTTGGTGTCATTGGGGATATCAGTGATCAGTGCTAATAAAAAGCACTGACACTGTAATAATGACACTGGGCAGGAAGGGGTTAACATCTGGGGCAATCAAAGGGTTAACTGTGTGCTCTGTGTGGGCTTTACACTGTTAGCACACTGCTATGCAGAGCCATACAATGCAGCATGCTAGAGCTGACAGGGAAGAGACCTGTATTGTTTACATACAGACCTCTCCCCCATTGGTAATCCTCAGAGATCACTGGGTGTCAGCAGTGATTGACAGCCAAGGCCACAAATGGCAGCATGGGTAGTTCACACACGCTCCCCCTACCTGGAACTGCAAAATCACGTATATATACATGATTTTGTGCACCCGTGCAGCCCTGTAGTTCTGCTATAGGGCAGCATGAAACTGGTTAAAGAATATGTAAACCCTCACCTTGTAAAACAACCCATTCAGTTTTTAAAATAGAAATGAAAGGTAAAACATTTATGTGTACATATGAAAAAACATTACAAACACCTTTTTCTTTTTCTTTTTTAGAAGTGATCACATACTCTCAGTTCTCAGCTGCATAAAGATCTCAGCTGCATAAAGGGAGGACAGACAGCAACATATTTATCTTCTGATCATTGGAGGAGAGTTTCCAGCACAGCCAGAAAACTGACCATGTTGTGCTTTCCTGTCTAGCGTGGTCAGTTTTTTAAGAAAAGCAGAGATATTGGCAAGAACACCAGGTATTTAACACAAAGGAAAATATACAAAGAAAACAGGATACAGCAGGCACATATCAAGAATATGAAATGCTGGGGCAACATTTTCTTTAAAGGATTTTTGTATTTTCAATTTTGCTCTTAAGGCTGCATAAAAAGACCCTCTTGTCACTGTAACTTTTTACAACGGATTTTGCCTCTACGTTCAGGTTCACTGAATTTCAGAAAAGATTAGCTAGACCTATGGCAAATTGAAGCAAAACAGATTAGCCCATAACCATCTCTACAAGATTGAACATTTTTTGGGATGAAACATTTTAACAAGTGGTAAACCATACATATTATTTATGATAGCTAGTTTTACATTTAAATAAAGAGACCTTACCAACTGCACTATAGTGAGCATCAAAGCCGGTGTAACGTTCTTCATTGGAGAAATCAGACCTAAAAGTAAGGCTGAGAAAGTTTCCAGGAGATGTGATTACTTGCTTCCCTGGAGCTTGTTCTGTGTCAGTGCTTTCCTTTCCACAGAAAGTTGCCAACACTTGTTCATCAGTCTCTACCTGTAGCGAAAACAATAGCCAACATTCGGATTACTTTGTATATTCTGGAGTCTAGTGCACCATCAATGTGAATCAGTAACGCTTTGTTTTGCCAGATGGAATAGCATAAGGCCAAACATGTGACATGAAAAAAAGAGTTCATTGAATATTCTAGGTTTTCTTTTAAGGTTCCAGAAATGAGTTGACTTGTTAAGTCTGTAACCACATTAGGTGAAACAAGTTCTCATTACGGATTCTCAAGGGTTTGGAACCTCTGCTGCCTCAAGCAGTTATACTGGCAATGTGTTTATTTTCTGTTTTTCTAATGTTCATTGTTATTCTACCGCCCTGCGGTCATTGTAATATTAATTTTCTGTAAGTTCTCCTCTTTCTATGATGTTTTAGCTTTCTTCTTCGTTGTGAGTTTATGCTTTCTTTCCTGCAGCACATACTTGAGGTGAGGAGAGAAATATTCCCTTTGATCACTACAAATACCAACATCTACCATCTACTACATCATATTGTTTGCCTGAACTCTTCTGCATGCAGTAAAGATATTTGTGGATTCCAAGTGTTTGGTAAGTTCAGCTATCTGATGAGGTTTGTCTGTAGCAATTGCTTCTCCTCCTTTCAGGCAAGGGACAGAGGTCTCAGAAAGGCACTGTTATAATAGTTTGAGTCAGAATAATTGAAAAGAATATAATTCCAACTGCATTCTGTATATTATAAGCCTTTTTACCTGCACATTGTGTTTTCACCTGCATAAGATGCCCATTGTCTCATGATTTTCTGGCCCTGTGTGCACAGCCTATAGTAGAGTAAATCTTCACATTCATGTATTCAGAAGTTTCTGTTTGTGTTCACACATGGGGCATGCTGCATGATACTGCACAGGTTAATGAATGACAATCTAAGAAATGGGATTTAAAAAATCATAAACAGTAACGTGCTCCACTAACAATTACAATAAAGAGTGAAGAAAAGTTCTCGAATAAAGTGAAATTAAATTAAATTAAATACAGTCCAACAACAAATTAAATGTGATAATGCAATCACGCTTCTGCTGCATAAATGTCCTTAATCAATCCATGACTTTGACATTCCTTCTAGTGATGTGATAAGAAATGATTTGTGTGCAATCCACCAATCATAAAAGAAGAAGAGGTGACCAGATTGATCCTTCTACCTGATGATGAGTTCTAAGGAATTAAGGAGACCCCTAACTGTGAAGAGAGATAATCCCATCCATCTCCAAGTCCTTTTAAAGGGACACAAGCCTTATATGACCTCACTTAATGGTTTGGTCATATATGTCAGGTGAGAGCACAGCCGGTGAAGGTGTACACAATTTTATGATTGGTGGATTGCACGCAAATCATTTCTTATCACATCACTAGAAGGTATGTCCAAGTCACGGATTGATTAAGGACATTTATGCAGCATAAGCATGATTGCATTATCACATTTAATTTGTTGATGGACTGTATTTAATTTAATTTCATTTCACTTTATTTTCACTCCACTCTTTATTGTAATTGTTAGTGGAGCGCGACACTGTTTATGATTTTTTGGTTCACTATGACACATTGGTATGAGTATGTGTAGAGTGTGGGCGACCCACTTATTTCAATTTCATTCATATTTCTATTTCTTTAATTTTTATTTGCGTTAGCATTTTCACAATATTGATTTAATACATACTTTTTTCACCATAGTAGCTCACAAGACCCCACGTTTTAGTAAGAGCTGAGAGTTACTGTGAAGAAACTATATATCCCACAATCCCTGGGTCTCTAAGGATTGTGCTGGTGCTCTGCAGGTAAGAGCTAAATTGTAATCAGATCTGAAATAGACACAAGCAAGCACAGCAAATGACAGAGCTCACATGCATTTTTATTTCATTACCACATCTGATGTCAGGAAGGATTTCACCTGCTGGTGGCACTGTGGCTATCAGATATATAGGCTGCAGTTCTGGTGTCCAACAGCAGGTGTTTCTCAGCAGCCAGAAGCACATGGTAATTAGGCATCACCTGATGCAGTGTAGTTAAACCTCTTTGCCTTGGTGTTTGTCCATGTGCCCCTGACTTGTGTGCCTGCATCCTGATCCTGCATCCTGACCTGACTCCTCACTTTCCTGCTTGTTCCTGTTCCCGCATAACCTCTCCCTGTCCTGGCTTGCTTCCTGCTCCCTTCTGCCTGACCTCCCGTGTATGACCCTGGCTTCGATACTTACTACTCCTTTAGTCTTACCCTGCCATCTGTATATAGTTAGCTTGGTTATCTGGGTTAGTTTATTTAATGTGGTCATTCTCACCCTTTACGCTTCACTGGTTTAAGTTCTTGGGGTTTTGGCTATCTTGGTGTATGTGTGTTATATTGTTGCTTTACTGGCAATATCTTTCAATAAACCACATTATTTATATCATACTTGTATCTGGTGTTCTCTGTGTAGTCCACACATTTCTGGTCACACTTGTTTCACAGCCATCTTGGCTCTGCTGTTGTTTGCTGCAAGATGTATCCTGAAGAGGTTATATACTATGCTTTGCTAGTGACAGAGGAAAGGGAATATTGCCACCAAATACAGTGGGCCAAAGATCAGCTGTTAGAATGCATTCGCCATGCTCATTCCCTGGTTGATGGGTGTTGTTTTGTGATGTTCAGCCCTTAATTCAAGCCTGAGCAAAGTTGTCTTTGTCCAGTATTCAGAATGGTAGTGAGGACGTTACTCCCGCCTTTAGTATAGCTCAGGTGGAATCACTTGTATGGTTATTGGAGGATGAATACACCTATTTTTGTAAGCATTAATCGGCCTGTTCCCAACAGGTGCTAGTAGATTGTGTTAATGCAGTGCAGTCCCTAGTCAAACAAGTGGAGTGTAACATGAATTTTATTCAACCATTACTACAACCCTGGTCAGATCTATTACACTCAGCCTCAGTCAGCTTGCACTAACCCATTCCTGCTGCTAGAAACAAGCTTTCCCTATTATATCCCTCTCTGTCACCCACAGCAACCACAGTTGTAGCCCAGTATACCTTCCAACTACAGTATATGTCACTACCCTGTTTCCACTTGCTGCACCTACCCTGCCTTTAACCCATTGAAGATTTCCTTTTTTACTTCATTGCCCATGGCAACCCCTGAGAAATCCTTAGCAACTGCTCCTTCTTTTTCACCATCCCTCAGTTCTGGTCTTCCATCAGCTGCACCACCTGCTCACAGCCCAGCAATCTCATGCAGAACTTCTGTGGATAAACCCAAGAAGGATAGAAAGTTTTTTTCAAACTCGCACAGTTCTGCCACTATCCACTCCTGCCTGTACACCAGCTGATCTGCATATACAAGCCGATCTGCTCCAGTCCGCTTCTACACCAGCCGATGCACTCCAGTCTGCTTCTACGCCAGCCATTCTGCTCCAGTCTACCTCTTTGCCAGCCGATTTGTTGCAGTTGGCCTCTACACAACCCATTCTGCTCCAGTCTGCCTCTACGCCAGCCGATCTGCTCCAGTCTGCCTCTATGCCAGCCGATGCATTCCAGTCTTCCATCATGCTTATTACTCCAGTCCAGAGCTTGTTAACTGAACATTTAGTTTTTCATATTTGTGACTTTCAGTAACCTGCCCTCCCTCTACTGCAGTTGTCTGTGTTCAAACTTGTCTAAGAAGTTACATCCATCCATTGGACAGACTGCCTCATTTGGACAGGTGGGGCTCTCATCCTTTCTCCAACACACTGCATGCAGTCTGTTTTCCAGCTATTTAGCTTAACTTCAATGATATGTCACATGCTATCCATTCTGGCGTTACTGGTTGTCAGGGCTCCCAGGTGTGACCAGAGGTGTGTGACTGACGCAGGGAAACGCAGACTTCAGATATGTGATAAACAATATAGTTTATTAACACTAACAATACAAACATAAACGCAGTGCAATACTAAACATAATACAGTGCAAACAAACCAAACCAACCACCCACAGATAACAGTACATACAAGCAAGCGTCGTCAGGCAGGCCGGGTCAATATCAATTGGGCAGGTAGGTACAGGGGGAGCAAGCGGAGATTGGTCGGGGTCACAGGCCAGGTTCAGCAGGTAGCTAGCAGCGTAGTACAGAGGGTCAGGCAGAGGGATGGTCAGGGTCACAAGCCAGGGATCAGAACAGGTAGCAGGCAGCGTAGTACAGAGGGTCAGGCAGAGGGATGGTCAGACAAGCCAGGGATCAGAACAGGTAGCAGAGAATCAGACAGGAACAGAGAGCAGGAACAGGATACAGGGCCCAAGAGAAACACAACTCTAAGGCAGAGTCTGCAAGTCTGGCCATCCCTTAAATACCCCAGCATAATCAGTTCCAGGTGTTAGCTGGCTGCAAAGTTGAGTCTCTGATTGCTGGGAGCATCCGCTGGCCAGCCCTGGTACTGCAGATCAAAAGGCAGGTGAGTCCCACCATTGCTGGCTAGTCCATTCCTGACACTGGTTCTCTGTCCACTATCCAGTTTGACTCCATTGACTCTTTGCTTGCTAATCAACCTGACCTCACTGATCCCCTGACCACTGCCCAGACTTATGGTCTGCTGCCTGCTGATGGGGTCCAGTCCTCCTGCATATGGCCCATTGATGGGGTCCAGTTCTCCCTCATGTGGCCCACTGATGGGTTTCAGCCTGTCCTTATGCCTACAGAGTGGGTTCAGCCTGCCGCTGATGCCCAGACGGAGGGTCCTGTTTCGGATGCCCGGCTGGAGGTTCCTGTTCCTGATGCTCAGCCAGAGGGTCCTGTTCCTGTTGCCCAGCCTGGTGGTCCTGTTCCTGATGTCCAGCCATGTGATCCCATTCCTGATGCCCAGCCTGAGGGTCCTGTTCCTGATGCCTAGCCTGAGGGTCCTGTTCCAGATGCCCAGCCTGAGGGTTCTGATGCCCAGTCTGGTGGTGCTGTTCCTGATGTCCAGCCAAAGGGTCTCGTGCCCAATGATTCGCCTGCCTCTGATGGTCCTGTGCCTGATGACCCGCCTGCCTTTGATGGTCTGCTGTCTGATGACCAGCCTGCCTTTGATGGTCTGCTGCCTGATGTCCAGCCTCCCTCTGATGGTCCTGTGCCTGATGACCCATCTGCCTCTCATTGTCTGCTATCCGATGACCTGCCTGCCTCTGATGGTCTGCTATCGAATGAGCTGCCTGCCTCTGATGGTCTGCTGTCCAAGGACCCACCTGCCTCTGATGGTCCTGTGCCTGATGACTCGCCTGCCTCTGATGGTCCTGTGCCTGATGCACAAATGTGTGTGACTCTGAAGCTTCTGTCACAACACCTGCCAGCTTGCAGGTACGAACTATCCATGCAGTGCCCTCCCCTTCACTTAATGCCACAGCACTCAGGGCAGCTGTCCCTCCTGCCCACCCCTTGTCTTAGCCCTAATAGTGGACAGTAATGTGTAACGCCTAGGTGCATAATAAAAAACAACACACAAGGTCAGAGAAAACAATGAAACTACCGAGATGCATTCTGTGGTGATCTGTTAGATTTACAGGATGGAACTACACATTGCCAGATTTTCTATGCTTTAATGATTAGGCAACAGAATTAAAAGACTCTATAGATCGCCTGTGAATGTTACCTATGACTGTCTGCAAAATGTGTGGATTTCTTGAGGAACACTAATGTAGGGGATTCCTTAACAGAACTAACTAAAACTCTCCAAAAAAGAGATTACTTAGTGCAGTGTGTTAAGGAAAAGGCAGAACTCTACTTTGCTCATTTGCAGGGGACCAAGCAGGTCTCATAGATTTACAGCAACTAAACTCGCAGTGTAATCTTCTACAACTTCTTGCTCCAGGAGATCAGCATTAAGGCTAGGTTCACATCTGTACAGGTGGTTGCTGCTGCAGGACTGCATCTGTTCACAGCCACAACCACCCACACAGAAAAACGCAGAAGATGTGTGCGGGTGCCATTCATTCTAATGGCACACTGCACTTGCTGGAAATGACTCCTGCACTGGGAATTACACTGCACTTGTGGTTCCCTTGCGGCTGTGATTACTAAAATGATGTAGGGACCGTTTCCCTGAATTTTAGGAGGCACGGCAGCCCATTCAAATGAATGGGTGTGGCACCTGTGCAAATCGCGGCTTGCGGAACCGCAATAGTGTGGATCTAGCTTCAGTGACAAGCTTACAGAGGCTTGTGCAAATACAAAAGCAACTTTTCCTTTGCTAGAAATGAAGTGGAAATGGGAAACTCAAAGCAAAACAGGCAGAGATGGAAGCCCAAATGAAAACTTCTTTAAATGGAGAAGGAAGAAGCAGCTACCCTTGCAAAGTTAAAAGTCCTTGAGCAAGCAATGAAAGAGAGCAATAATCCAGACTGTTTGCTTCATAGAAGCACTGGAATATACAGCTGAATGCACCACTGAATGTGAATGTGTTAAAGCACAATGTTTGCACTGATGCAGAGCCCTACAGAGACCTCTCAGCTATAAATGCTTGTACCACTTCAAATCCACCACACAGATGTATTCACACAGCAAAAGATATCAACCTCTTAAAATTATCAAGGTTGTCAACTTTAGTACCAAAGAATGAGTGATGAGATCTGTCAGACTTTGTCAGATACTTATTTATTTATTTATTTCAGGTACTTATATAGTACCGTCAATCTACAGAGCGCTTTACATATATGTATATTATACATTTACATCAGTCTCTAACCCTCAAGGGGCATACAATCTAAGGTAGATATATGTAGTGATCTATTAAATATAGTCTCTTAAAGCGGAGTTCCAGCTGAAAAAAAAAGCAGCTAAAAACTGTAGCTGCTGACTTTTGAAATACAGTCACCTACTGTACCTGATCCTCGGTTCAGCGGTGTCCTCACCACCGCTGGTTTCAACGGCTATCTTCACTGGCTGTCTTCTCTCCCTGGCGTTGCACGCTGCACATGCGCGTGAAGTGCTGTGCTTTGTGAATGGCCCAGAAGACTGCTGGGAGGGAGGGGGGGAAGACAGCTTCCGCTTCCGATTGCCTAGGTGATCGCAGCGGATCTGTCAAATTTGGGTACCCGCTCCCCAAAGGGGCCACATTAATGGGGAGCAGGGGAAGAAGCATGTGATCTTCCTCTTTTGGGTGGAGCTCTGCTTTATGGTTCAAGGATTTCCAAAAAAACAGTAGAGCCGGAGATCAACACTACAATTTCTGACCTTAACCTTATTGCCATGGAGAAACTTGATTCATTTTTCAAGTAGCTAGGGCTAGGCGGCAGATAGTATTAAGAGACTGAAAGGAGTACAGGTGGGCTACCCAGATGCAGGACTTAAGCACTTGCCCTCTAGGGGATTTACCCCCCTTCCTGACCAGGCCATTTTTTGAGATATGGCACTGCGTTACTTTAACTGAAAATTGCACAGTTGTGCAATGCTGCACCTAAATGAAATTTATGTAATTTTTTTCACACATAGAGTTTTCTTTTGGTGGCATTTGATCACCTGTGCATTTTTTATTTTTTGCGCTGTAAACAAAAAAAGACCGTCAATTTTGAAAAAAAAAAAACCAATATTTTTTACTTTTTGCTATAAAACATATCATAAAAAAAAAATAAAAATAAAAATTCTTCATAAATTTAGGCCAAAATGTATTCTGCTATATGTAAAAAACAAAAAATACCATACGTGTAAATTAATTGGTTTACGTAAAAGTTATAACTCTGGTGATATAGATACTGGTTTTATTTATTAATTTATTGTTACTAGTAATGGCGGCGATCAGTGACTTATTGCGGGACTGGTTCACTGCAGATCTGGGGTGATCAAAGGGTTAAACAGTTCTGTGTTGTGTTTTACTAGTGTGCTGAGTGTGTTTTACTATGTAGACATGTTGTTTTTTAAAGCAATACAAAGAAGCATAGATGAGCGAATCGAACATGGCGAAGTGGAATTCGTTTCGAAGATCAGAAAAATTTGATTCGCGCCGAATCCGAAAATTAGCAAACTTCGGATGCACGAATCGAATTTTCCCAAAAATGGCGGAGACATGTGTGGCGACGGAGCGGGGATCTCTGGGAAGGCGCGCAGACAAGGCGCGCTGACCCATAATGCATTCATTCATGACATGTGATCGCATTAGCCAATCAGCAGCCAGCCAGCCAGCACTGTGTAATGGTGGAGCTATAAATTGCGGCCATCTTAGAATTCTCCATTAGCCTCCGGTCATTCAAGAGAGACAGACCTGTCTGTATTAGGGACAGAGTTAGGGCCACAGAGACTTTAGGGCCACAGAATCGTTACTCAGGGACACAGAATCGTTACTCAGGGACACAGAATCGTTACTCAGGGACACAGAATTGTTACTCAGGGACACAGAATTGTTACTCAGGGACACAGAATCGTTACTCAGGGACAGACACAGAATTGTTACTCAGGGACACAGAATCGTTACTCAGGGACACAGAATCGTTACTCAGGGACACACAGAATCGTTACTCAGGGACACAGAATTGTTACTCAGGGACACAGAATTGTTACTCAGGGACACAGAATTGTTACTGAGGGACACAGAATCGTTACTCAGGGACACAGAATCGTTACTCAGGGACACAGAATTGTTACTCAGGGACACAGAATCGTTACTCAGGGACACAGAATCGTTACTCAGGGACACAGAATCGTTACTCAGGGACACAGAATTGTTACTCAGGGACACAGAATTGTTACTCAGGGACACAGAATCGTTACTCAGGGACACAGAATTGTTACTCAGGGACACAGAATCGTTACTCAGGGACACAGAATTGTTACTCAGGGACACAGAATTGTTACTCAGGGACACAGAATCGTTACTCAGGGACACAGAATCGTTACTCAGGGACACAGAATTGTTACTCAGGGACACAGAATCGTTACTCAGGGACACAGAATCGTTACTCAGGGACACAGAATCGTTACTCAGGGACACAGAATCGTTACTCAGGGACACAGAATCGTTACTCAGGGACACAGAATCGTTACTCAGGGACACAGAATCGTTACTCAGGGACACAGAATCGTTACTCAGGGACACAGAATCGTTACTCAGGGACACAGAATCGTTACTCAGGGACACAGAATCGTTACTCAGGGACACAGAATCGTTACTCAGGGACACAGAATCGTTACTCAGGGACACAGAATCGTTACTCAGGGACACAGAATTGTTACTCAGGGACACAGAATTGTTACTCAGGGACACAGAATCGTTACTCAGGGACACAGAATTGTTACTCAGGGACACAGAATCGTTACTCAGGGACACAGAATCGTTACTCAGGGACACAGAATCGTTACTACTCAGGGACACAGAATCGTTACTCAGGGACACAGAATCGTTACTCAGGGACACAGAATCGTTACTCAGGGACACAGAATCGTTACTCAGGGACACAGAATCGTTACTCAGGGACACAGAATCGTTACTCAGGGACACAGAATCGTTACTCAGGGACACAGAATCGTTACTCAGGGACACAGAATCGTTACTCAGGGACACAGAATTGTTACTCAGGGACACAGAATCGTTACTCAGGGACACAGAATCGTTACTCAGGGACACAGAATCGTTACTCAGGGACACAGAATCGTTACTCAGGGACACAGAATTGTTACTCAGGGACACAGAATCGTTACTTTTTGGGGTGCTTACAACCACTATTGAATTAAAGAGTATGTCAGACAACACGCAGAGGAGTGGCAGAGGAGGCAATGTTTCAGGAGCGAGCAGACGTGGCAGCAGAGGAAGGGGTCGAGGCAGCACTAGTCGCAGCCAGAGGCCAGTGCTCCCGGTGTCATCCAGCGGTCGTGTCTCCCACCGACAACCCTGCCGTCATCGATTGGTTGACTCGACTCGGTCGTCTTCCTCTTCCCAGGTCACCTCTGACACACTACAGCCAACGGTCGGTGGGTACGTCAGACACAACCGTTAGTTGGCATGGCCCGGGAGCAAGCCCACTGAAATCACGTGTCCTCTACCTGCCCCTGTCCTTTGGTGTTCCCTCACCAAGCGAAGTATCGCATGCTGGGCTCTCAGCCCCACTGTACAGTGAGGAAGAGCTAACAGAGGGCGGTCAGGAACGGGGGGAGACATCCGCCTCTTCAGCAGCCAGGCGAAGAAGTACTGGCGAGGAGAGTGGCTCGGTAGCCGGTCTAGAGACAGGTCTGTCTCTCCTGACCCACACGCAGCCGAGGGGGCTAGTAGTGACGCGGAGACCCTAATTGATGATGATGAGGCTGATCGCACTTGGCAGCCTCGTCATCAGGCTATTGCTTCCGCATCATCAGGAGAAGAGGGTGCCAGCTTGCCAGCGAGCAAAACAGTCGGTGGGTTGCCCAGGAGGCAGCAGGGTCGCAGCAGTGTCAGTGGAGGCAAACGGCCACGGAGTAGAGCACCAGCTCCACTGCAGCCTACCACCACGGCCAGTAGTGGTGCCGGTGTGCACGGAGGAAGTAGCAGTCAGCCAGTGAGGAGTAGCGGGGGCAAAGTTTCCTACTCGGCGGTGTGGCAATTTTTCGTCAAGCCGCCCGAGGAAGTAAACGTAGCCGTATGTCGACTATGTGGCCAGAAAGTCAAGCGTGGCCAGGGGGCCCATGTTGGGACTACAGCGTTGCGTCAGCATATGCAGCGTCGCCATTCGGTGGCCTGGGAAAACCGTGATAAAGATACGGCGGTTCTGCCTGCCCCAGCCCCCGCTCCATCACCCGCTCCGTTACTTGCTCCGTCACCCGACGTCAATCGCCCTCTATCAGCCAGTCAAGGCTCCAACACCTCTGCTGAGGGGAGTTGTCGCTCGTTGGCATCTTCCGCTCGTTCAGATGCTCCTTCTCCTGCTACTCCTCTTCACGGATTCCGTCAGCAGTCTTTCTTGGAATCCGTTTCCAAGAGACAACAGTTTGCGAGCACGCACCCGACGGTGCAGAAGCTGAACGTCCTCC